GGTGTAACATCATTGTTTACAAAAATACCACTTCTTGAAACCATAGACATAATTTGTCAACATTCTGACATTCTATCTCTACCAGTACCAGAATTCAAACGACTATTACTCATTTGTACAAAAGATGTTCAGTTCCAGTTCAATGATATCATATACAAACAAACCGACGGTGTAGCGATGGGAAGTCCGTTAGGTCCTGTCCTAGCAGATATTTTCATGGCTAACCTCGAAAGAACCAAACTCAAACGAGCGGTTGATGAAATGATGTATTATTCGAGGTATGATGATGATACCTCCACCGTATGTATTAATCAACAACATGCAATAAATCTGCTACAGTTTTTCAACGAAACCCATCCAAATATCCATTTCACTATGGAACATGAAAAGGAAAACAAGTTCAACGTTCAGTTTATTAGAAAGACACATGGAATGGTAGTTATCTCAGTTTCAATAGGTTTTGTCCAATCAGTTACAAAAAGGCACTGCTCAAAACACTGTTTCACAGAACAGAAAGAATATGTACTTCCGATACACTAGAATAGGAAGTTATGAATGTTAAAAAATGTTTAAAGAATAACGGATACCCACTGAAATTTATTGAGAAATATGGCAAACGTTAAGATAAGAAACCCAGAGAAATTACAGCAAATAAAAAGCCTATTTTTACTCAACTTCAATTCAAAAGTGACGATATCACAGGATCAATCAATATGAGACTAAAAACTTCACTGACAAGAACTTATCCTGCAGCGAAATTGATTGTCCTGTTCAAAACAACATGTTCTTTGACACAATCCAAGGTCGACAGGTATCCCTTTCATGTTACCACCAACTGTGTTTACAAATTTACATGTATCTGCCAAAGCAGTTACGTTGGCAGAACAGAAAGGAGAGCTTACGTCCGATTCAAAGAACATATTCCGAAAAGTTTAAGATTAAATGGATTGAACGCATTCAACAGTGCCATCGCAAGACATACCCTTGATACAGGACATGAAGTTGATATACTGAAGTCCTTCAAGGTGATTAACAAACAATCAAACTTCAACCTTTTGAAATTTGCTGAAGCAATAGCAATCAAACGTTTAAAACCAGATCTATGTATACAAAAAGAGACAGTAATAAATCTTTCTTTACCCTGGTAACAATAACCCCTTTTATTCATTTATTTCCCTATTTATTTATTGTGTCATTACTCCAACTCTTTTAAATTACATCATACATAAATGATTGATTTCAATTCATATTTTCTTTATTACCGTTAATCTATTTTCATGAGTTCTAATCACTAGTTCGATGTTCTGGAACTTTCCCTCTAAATTTATTTATTTATTCGAATCAAACATTTTATGAGCTCATTAACTCTATCTGAATCTTCGCTACATCATGATACACATATATTGATCCTTAATCACCCTCTTATGTATAAATATGTCAATATCTGTAGTAATTTGAATTTCAAATAATTTAGATTGTAAGCAGCTGATGAGAACCTAACGAAATAAAATGAATTCATATTATTCTGCACTAATCTTTGTTCTTGCTCTCTTTAAAATAATAAAGGGAACGATGTGTATGAACTTTCTATTAAGTTAATTCTACTTCAGTCAGCTGCATATGTAATCCATACAGCATGGCAACTTTAAAACTCCGTTATAGTTATGTCCCAAGTTTCCAACACTTAATAGCAAAATCTAAAAATCAGATACATCACTTTATTCGGATTTTGTCAACCTAATATCCACGTATCCCTGTTTCTTGAATTCTTAATTTAGAATTATGCTTAGCTTCTATATGTTTACATGTTTACTAGATTCTATGTTAACGTGTCTTTTTAATCAATGTTTACCTTCATATTGCTGGACACTTTAATCGACTGGGCTTTTCGTGTTTCATTTAATTCACACTTGTATCCTGATTTTTTTTATCACTTCGTAATATTTTTGCATATCCTAATTATTTTTCTTGGGGAATTGTTTTCAGCTGTTTGATAATCATGTTATTGAAAGTATTTTACGAGATTCTCGTCAATTACTCGATTGGATCCAATGCCTAGGCGCGGAAAGTGTAAACAATGCATGTAACTTGACCAGGAAAGATGATGTAAACACATGTCCACTAGAAGTAAAATCATCACTTAGTTCAGGCGAACGTGAAAAATTAAAAAGTGAAATAAAATATTATCGTCGTAAATATCATCAGTTATTACAAAGTGTAGATATTGTAACGAAAAATTGTAAGTTGGGATTTATATATCACCGTCCACCATTTTTTTACTTCATAACTTAGATCGGTGAAACAACTACACCGTTCATTTATTTAATAACTAAGACAATATTTATTACACTAATATTTTGGTCCTATTCAACCACTAATCTGTCCATAATTTTATATTGTTGGTCGACAGTGCTATTGAATGAGGTCAAGCGTTCATAATTTTAGTAATTAGACTTACCGATTTATCTGTGTACGAACGGAAGGGATAACCTATAAATCGTTGTGAACTAATATACTAATTACATCTTTCATTTTGGAATGTATTCTGCGATAAGGTTCAATTTACTCATATTGGATATGTACGAATGAACCTTCACAGTTAATTTAAATTACTAGTAACTTTGTGTACTGACTAAAATGAATTACTATCGATTTACATCGTTCTATATTATTGATATATGGAGAAATAATTTCGATTATCTACCGTATTTTCATTGTTATCCTATCTTTCAATTCTTTGAAATTTGATTCAAATTTTTAAAAATTTTCTTACGTGTATTTTCATTATAGTGGCGGATACTACCGATGTTATATCGAGTACACGTACTCAGCTTGAAAACGTTGCTCGTCTCAGCCCTATAACGGGTCATTCTGAGTCAAAGAAATAACATCTGTTCAAGAAAGAGTTTAGCGTTCTCAGACTTTAGTTTGACATAATACTAAGCATTTTCACATGATTGTATTTTTAATTGCATTCTGTTCATTCTTTGTAAACCAGCTGTATTCTTGGTCTTTTTTCTACGTAAACTGAGTTCTAAAAGGCTGTATCAGCGAAAATGTGAGAACCTATTGCATTTGTATTTGCTCTTTATCCAATGTTCTTCCTTTTCATCTAACGACCTATGTTCGATGTATTTCAAGTTTTTGTCATCCCCAAACATTATTCTAAGCAATTTCAAATTCAATAAATTTGAACTATTTCCACTAAGTTCTTGTAGTTCGATTGTTCTCTGCCTATTTACAAATCATGGTTAAATTTAACTAGGTATATACTTTTTTATGAAGATAATTCCCTTTTAATTGTTTTAGCTGACGGCCGTGGAACATGGCTTTTAAATGTTAAATATATTCGTAGATGTCTTTAAAGCATTGCTCACGTATGTTGGGGCCATCAAGGAACCAATGATGAAGTTTGGCACAGTGTACTAGGCGATGATGTAAACCGGTTGATAAGATTGAATCTCCTTCGACTATGTTGTTTGAAACATGTATCATGTATATCTAACCACCAGTGCGCGATATTTGCTCTTCAACTTTTAGGTTGGGAGAAGTTAGTGGCGGTCAAAACAAAACGTGGCATCTGTCTAAGAAATCACTGATTTGTTTAACTTGGATTACTAATTTTTTCGATGAATGTACATGAAATTTCATCAAATACTCATTTTACAAGGTGCATAAATTATACAATTGACGTAAATCAATGGATACGTTATAACCCACTGCCATCTAATACTCATATGTATGATATGATTTTTCATCCTTTATAATCGAATCATCATCTCTTTTCGATGCTTTGGACATTGTTTTTAGGCTAAATTAGTCTATCGTTTTGGCTAAATTATTTTCCTGATAAATGTTTCGACCATTGCTCACGAAAATCCTGTACTTTAAACTCCACACTTACAAATACTATGTGAATGTGGCAGGCATACTCATTTTGCTTAGTTAATGTGTTTCCGTAATCCTGAAAATAAAATATTCCATTTGTTTAAAGCGATTTTCTCGTATGTTATTTGTTGTACTATTTGAGACATTGATAGAAATGCTTTTCGCGTGTTTTGAAATGTAATAACATTCATACATAAATATCAAATTCTACTGGACATTAACAGCGATTTAGATATTAGTTGGTTGTAAGCAGTTGTCTCATATTTCTTAACAGCTGTTAGTAGGAGCCATGAACCCATATAATACATATATATATGAACGTATTTCACTTTTTTATACCTTTGAAAACGTTAACATTTGCACTGTTTGAACATTGATTAATGGTTGGTGGGACTGATTAATGATAAAAATCTCTAAAAATCACTTATTAACGTTTTGTTCGTGGCTAATTTCCATGTTTCATAACTAAATGCTCTCGGCCTTCGAAGGTAAACGATAAGTAGGTTTCAGTAGAATTGGATAGTGATTTAAATGATGGTATTATACATTTAATGGAGTGTAGACGTATTTTGTAAACGTTGAAATGACTATCACTACTCTACTATTCCACTAATGAACACCAAGTTCCAAAAAGAGTTTAAACACTGCTTCGCCGTATGAGGACTCATCTGGTGCTAATTCGAATAAAATCAATTTCCAGTTTGACTGGAACCTGATTATCATGTAAATTACTTGAATTGTACCACTAAGAAAAAACAAATAGTCATATTATTGTATAGGTTTATCTGATCATCTCAAGATTTACGTGAGTTGCAATTAAATTTTCAATTTGTAGTCTTAAACGTACTCATTTCAATGCTAGTATATTTTGTCGTTTGAATTGAATTAACACTTATCCCACAAAGAAAAATAACGTTTCCCAGTATGGTATATTTGCAATTTCGCGAACGTTATAACCCTAAATATCATTATCAAATCATGTAGAATTATTCCCCAATAATCATTATCAAGAAACACATCGAAAATAAATCTATATCGTTACAAGCATAATTTACAGACATTAATAAATAAATGAACAAAAGAAATAAGATATTCCTATTGGGTTTTCTTATTTACAATTTTAAATCAACTTCACACACTTCTTCATAATCTGGAGGAATGTTTCCACTGGTATAACCAAGTCTAGCTAATAGACTATTATTCTGATGCATAGTTGTAATAAGATTTCTGGGTATTATTGAATTACTTTTAGACCAAGCATACAAAGATTCTTTGTGTATAGCCTTAACAAATTGAACTGAACTGGCTTCGTATCTGAAATGATAGGTAAAAAAAGAAAATATCTATCACAGAATGCAGAGAAATTTGCCATCAAGAATCGCCACTTGACTATTAGTTTAATTTCAGGTATTAAGAGTTAGTTCAAGTTTTCTCATATGAACCATCAGAATGTGATGTGGATATGTAGGTCAGGTTGTATGTATGACTATATAAAATAGATGTATATTCTGTGTTCTTTTGAATACATAAGTGCATAAAGAGTGCTAAACTAGGCTGGAGTCGGCAGTGCTCTGTGGCTTTCAGTCGTCCCCTAGCTGATTCCACACATTAGTTCAAAATACCTCCAGATTTTAAATATCCCGGTAAGTTTTGCTTTATTTGTAGTTAGGTTTTGATCGCAGATGGATATAATTTAGGGTGCAATTGAAACCCAAGAAACTGAGCATATTTGGTTCTAATATGATATTCTTCAGGAATGCAGAGCTTTGACTCTAAGTCTTGCAGTGGTCCCTTTATTTTTAAACTGTGGGTTTCAAATTTATCACGACAATCATCCGATGCCATTTTTTCTCAATGGTGTCTCAGCTAATGTCAATTCATGACAAAATTGATAACAGATTAATCCATTCTAAAAACCTAAGTTTCCACTTTCTCTTCTTTCTACGTGTTTCTCAAATAAAAGGTTGTGTTGTGAACAAATCAAGTTATTATTATTGTAATGATCCACTTAGTACGGTAGAATTTCAATAAATAGAGTGAATAAACAGCAGATGACATTTCTAACCGTAATTTATTCGTTTTCTGTCATTTGTCTTCATAGTCCTCTAATTATATATATATATATATATATATATATATATATATATATATATATATATATATATATATTACAAATTAATTAAAGGGGTGTTAAGACGCATTGGATGCAACATAATGATGTGGGTATCGAACAAATACTTTTTCTACCAATGCTCCCGGAGAAGAGGAGAGTAATAAAATAGAGCTTTGTCATTAGCTCTAGATATGCTTTATCTGACTATACAGTTATCTGTTCGAAGACACGTATATTTTACTGTCATTATTGCCTTTGTGTGTTTTGTAAGACAGATTATGCTGCATATGTTTAATAATTTACCTTGATAACATTCCACATCAAAATTCAAGTGAGAGTGATCAATGTACACATAATATCGTGTTGAATAATCCAAAAGATGAAGGCTTTTGGTACGCTGGAGACGGTTAGCATAGCAGAGCAACTAGATCAACTTGATCCTAACAACTTCAGGTAAATCACAATATAAGTGCCTTGAATGTTTAGTGAACACAAATTATCGGTGATCCACTGATATGATGTTTAAATTGAGACAACTATGTTACACAATGAAGAAACTGGCAGAGAAATTTTGTAAATCAGAACGACCACTCAAGGACAAAGAAGGAAATCCAACAACTGAGATCCAAAAACAGAGGAATAGGTGACCAGAACGCTTTGAGGAACTCTTGAATAGGCCAGCTCCATTGAATCCACCAAGCATCGAAGCAGTAGACACACATTCCTGTGAATGTCAACCCACCAACGATCGAAGAAATCAGGATGTCCATAAGACAATCAGGAGTGGGAAAGCAACACGATGTGAAAACATACCAGCTGAAGCACTGAAGTCGCATATAGAAATAACTGCACATATGCTCCACGTTCTATTCACGAAGATTTTGGGGGAGTAATAACTGCCGATAGACTGGAAAAAAGAATACCTCAGCAAGATACCAAAGAAAGGAGATCTGCGTAAGTGTGAGGACTACAGAGGTATCACAATAATATGGGTACCAGGAAAAGTTTTCAACAGAATGTTGTTGAACCGGATGAAAGATTCAGTCGACACCCAACTTCAAGATCATTGTTGAGAAATGAATTGAATAGAATTCGTCACTGTACATCATCAGCTTTCTTGACTATGAGGCATTTGGCAGAGTGGATAGGAGAACTTTATGGAACCTTCTTCGACACTAGGAAGTGAATAGCTGAGAGAACCGTCAACGTAATACGGAGTTCATGTGACGGAATACGCTGAAACATCGTGCATAGAGGACAGCTGACAGACGCATAGGTAAGCGTAACATATATCCATCATTACTTAAAAGCATGTTAACTAAGATACGTAAACTAATGTTGTGCGGCAGCACTTATGCGAAGAAAAAACTATTCCGACAGTTGTCGACTCATGCTCAAGTGGTTATAAATAAACTAGTTTCATAATCCATCTGAGAGAAGACATGGAATTCAATGGACAGTTCGAAATCAACCAGACGATTTGAACTTCACAGATGATCTAGCCCTTTTATCCCACACACACAACAACAGCCTCTGCATCAGTTGGCCTCAACATACACAAGATTAAGAGCAAGATCCTCAAATACAACGCAGAAAACACCAACCAATCACACCCAATGGAGAAACTCTGGAACAAGTGGAATATTTCACGTATCTGGACAGCATCATCGACCTACAAGGAGGATCGGATGCAGATATAAAGGCGAGGATTGGCAATGGAAGGGCAGCATCCCCACAGTTGTAAAACATATGCAACTCAAAACTTCTATCAGTCAACCAATATCAAAGTCACAGTCTTCAATACGAACGTCCAGATAGTCCTACTATACGGAGCCGAAACGTGGAGAACTACTACAACAATCACCAAAAAATGTACAAATATTTATAAACAGTTGTCTACGCAAGGTATTCCTTGATCGGTGAAAGGTGTAGTTAAGATAAATAATTAACTGATTTGACGTGATTGAGTAGTCGATAAGCTTCGAAGCTTGTTTATTATAGTCGATTAAAGATTTAGAATTTATTCAAAAAAGATTAACGAGCAGACTTCTTTTTAGAGTTCGGTTATATACATCTTTGTTTTGTCTTACTACTAACATTTGTCTGTTGAATGAAGATTTAAATTTGCTCCCACCTAATTTTGTTTGGTTAGTAATGTCATGTATATCGTTTTCTTCGATCAGTTATAATTTAAAGCTTAATATAAATAATAACACAAAGTTACATTAACACTACTTTTGTTAGGTTTTTCGAATTCTGATTTCCAGCAATAAACTGCATATAAATGAACACAGACCAACAATATTCAGATGTTTAATAACGAAATTATTTGATCATAATTTAGATTATTATTAACCTACTTATTTATCATAGAAGTTTCATTAACATATTTTTCATGATTCAGTAGTTTTTCATCCCATGGAAGATCCAGAAAATCTTAAAAAAATCGAAGCGTTAGATTTAAACGTATAATTATAAAGATAACAACCTTTTCTCTGACAGTGAAATAAAACAAATTCTATATTTACATCAAGATGTAGTTGATTATGTTAGATTAGCCTCTCATCTTTATTTCTTAATGAAGTTTGATATATTAGGATAACGAATTATAAGTGTGTGCTTTTTAAATATTTCAGTACTGATTCAATCCCTTATAGGTATATAAGCTGTTAGATTTCGTAACCAAAGCCATTTTATGGTGAAATTAGTCTTTTGGTTAGACTAAATAACATTATCAAAGAATTCATTACAAAACTCATATTGAATCAAATATAAGAAAAGAATTCATTTTAGTATCGAAATCATCCCTTATTATCAGACTTAAAACAAGGAAATCCATTATTATTATTATTTCACACCTTTCTAATGAAACCTTTTTGTTCATGTGAATCAAAGTAATTTTTTTAGCATAGTTATTTGTAAAATATTCATATAAGCATGTGGTCAAGTTGAATCTTACTAAGGATTTTTTGAATCTCTCTCTTCGGTTTTATGACAAGACACTCATAACGTACAGTCATACATCGATGAATTCCAATGTGTTGGCAGTCTTCTATCATTTGTGATGTATAGGCCGTCCATTGGTTAAGTGCTTCAGGAATATTATCCGAAGTATATGTTGGATTTATTCTACGGCTGAGAAAAAATAAATAACACCAAGCTGTATTCATAATTTTCAACACGTTCACGTCCTCATTATTTATTGACAGATGAATTATTAACCAGTCAAAGATTACAACTTGTAAATCTTAATGAAAAACTAGTTACATAAGAATTTCTACAGAAACATTCCTCCTTAACTAAATATTTGCGATCAAGAGACTATATTCTTGGATGAATTAATCTCATAGAAAAAGCATTATCAATTAAGTTATTGTAGAAAACTGTCCTAGTAAAACAAATCTCGACGAATATTATGACCTGATTCATTGTGAATTATAATTCTTCAGCAACAAATTTCGATGAACCCTATGTGTATAAACACTTGAGTTACAGTTAAAATGTAATTGTACTTAATCCTCCCTGATTTATGTATATATACGTGTCTTAGTTTACACGTTTTTCAGTAATGATGGATATATGTTCGGTTTATATATGCGCATACACAAGTGATTAAACGTACATTATTGTAGACATTATAGCTCCTCTTCCATCACGTACTGCATGAATGAACTTAGCTTTCGGAAATAATTCACTTAAATACCTTAGATATATGTAAGATGAAGGATCTTTATGACATAACCTATCAGCAGGTGGTCCCATATTCTTCAGTATTGATACAATGAAACCAGCAATAGCATTATCAAGTACACTTTGTGTGACACCAGATTGTGAAAGCCGATCCTGACCGTTTCGATTATTCGGCCTGAGTTTTAATATTTTTCTTGTAACTATTGGTTCTGGACCACATCGAACCATTGGATGAACATCCAGCAGAACACGTAATAATCCAGTACCTAATAATTAAGGTGAAAAGAATAAACGATAATATAAACGTGCCAGAAGAATTATTATAAAAAGCTTAGTTATGTCAATGATTTATGTTCAATTTGACCAAAGAAAGAACAATCGACGTAACAGAATAACACGAGTTCTCATCAGCTGCTTGCAATATAAGCATAATAGTATTAATCAATAAAAATCAGCTAACATACTTGACACAATAATATCAGAAACGTTCTCGTCAGTGTAGATCAATGCAGAGAAATAAGTATGGAAGAACTACAATAGTTATTTATATGCTAAATGATTTGAATATTTATAGGTTGAATAAAAGAATATTCTAGAATAAAAAAACTACGAGTAAAGCATCAAAATTATTTAAAAGTGAAATAATCTTTTTGTCATGTAATCATTGAAACAAAATTAACTAACTGAGTAAAGATCAGATACGAATGAAAATAAATGATCATTGTCATGAGGAAAGTTCCGCAACAAAAAATTATAGGTGATGGTAAAACAAGATTGATAACTGAATTCTTTCGGATGAATAAATTTGGTCTAAGTCTTTTTAGGCCGGGAATTTGTCGACATATGACCGTTTTAGTGAGTGACTTGTTTGATACGGAAAGATCAACTTGACAGCTAGATTCATCCTTTTTGTTAAAGTTTTTAATGCGAAATCAATCTTTATAACTATTTCATCACCCTTGAAGCTTCTCAACCATAGGATGCTCCATTTCTTCCTCTTTAGTCTTCCCATACTTGAGAGCAAACACTATCTCATGTACAACGTTCAACAGTGGCTCATTCCTCATCAGTGCTTTCTTTTGAACGAAATCTGACACGATGGAAAAGCGTTCTAACCAAGTCTCTTTTTTGGCTTGCTGGACAGAAACTATTAAAGTTTAACTTTAGTTCACTCCATATGTTTTAACCGATAAATATATCATTCTAATCGAACTTGTATTACGCTTCACACATAACCTGTTTGCAAGAGAACTGATAAAATTAGGTCAAACGAAGGTCAATTTATTTACATTAATCTCACTGTAATTCAACCATTTAATAATTATGCACATACTCATATGTATGGGGCCGTTTTTATGTTTACTAACCAATTTCTCAGTTCATTTACTGGTTGTAAATGCAGTCAAACAACAATTCACTGCAAATATATGCATTTTGACTGATATTCAAACAACACTACATATTTGGTGTGATTACTAACGTGTGATCCGTTGTGTTTATTTACTCTTAATAAAAATCGATCCCAATTTGTCTCGTAATCGATTTCTGGATTTCTCGAGTGGAGAGAATTAGACTAGATATGCATACAATGTTATAAGGTCATTGAACTTGGAGTTAGTAAAATAATAACACAAAAACTTCTTTGAAGTATCAGTTTTGTTTGACTGGTAATGTGACTATGTATTTCTTAGTACAAACTTCCAGTTAATTGCTTGAATATTCATTAAATTGTGTATGAAATACAACCTAGCTAATCAAAATTTCAGGATAAAATTCATCTGTTGTTCATAGAATAACTATTAAGTGACATAAAGTTATACTAAATAGCTGAGAAAGCAAAATTTTTCATCAAATTTGCAGGCATACTAAAAGCTTACTTCAAGAAGATCTTATAGAGTTTAGAAAAAAAACTTAGAAAATATTTTCACTCTTAGCTATCGATGTGGTCAAGGAACATTTATCTTATCTTAGAGGTTCTCCCAAATAATAAGCTATAATAGTATGTAAAATTAAACATAATACAAGGTTAGCAAACAATCAGTGAAATTTAAACATTACGAATAAATTAATTTAAAACATATCGATACGTAGGATTTACGGTTTTAGTTCAAAGTTAAGCGTTTACATTACTAATATCATATGGATAACTCTAAGTTAATAGTTGAAAATAAATTTTTGTACAATTAACTAATTGTAGTTATAGCAGATAAAGTTTAGTCTAAACAGATGGCAGAATGTTCATGTCGATTAACATAAAAACCCAAATATTTTCTAAGGTAAGTATGAGCCGTATAAACCAAATAATTGATTAATATAGTATGCCTTGACAATTTGCATAAAAGGATTTTGTTTAGAAAAGTTTATTCATGGATGAAGAATACTTTTAGTTTTGTAAGTGTTAACATAGTTAATAACAAGCTAAATGACATGTATAGTGAGAAATTAATTTCATTGTTTTATCAATTTCACCAACTGAATTATATTTATTATCATCTTCTGTCTATAGGTTTTTGAATCGTTCCGTTGTTAATATTAAGGACTGGATTTTTATCAGTCAGTTTTAGAATATCTACATCCCGAGCGAATTACCTTAATAGCACCACTAACTCACAAATATTTTAAGATGAATAGTGGCCAACAACAGAATCCGGGACGCGCGTTACCTTCCATTTAGAACTCATCATTTGGATGTACCTGTATCCCAGTGTTGGTGTTCACTCCAAGACTCAAATCTAGTACTGGTCAAAATTTGGCAATCAATATTAAAAGTGGGAAGATTCAAACACTTACAAATAAAATAATAATATCTATTCCAATTACACAATTTAGTCGATATTTGGACTCGATAGTTCAGTGGGTAACGTGTCAGTTTTTAAGATTGAAGGTACTGGGTTCGATTCGTGGAGTAAAAATTAGCAAGAGTGTGGGTACATACAACTGATAAATCTCAAACAGAGTGAAACTCACATCCTGGATTCTACTGCTAGCCAATATCTATCTTCATATCAAATTATATTAATTTCAGGAACCTATTATTTTTAAATTGCCTACATAGATTCTGAGGTCTACTGAAAAAAATCATTCATTAGAATAACGAAAAAGTCACTACTTATTTGAGTACAATACTTTGTTCTACTGTGGTGAACGAGAGTACAAGTGGAGACAGTTGAATGTATTTGAACACAAAGTTAGAGAATCTCTTAGTAAAATCTGAGAACTAAACAGTAAATATTTCATTTGCAAGATATTAGTCAGTCGTCTCAGACATGACTGTTCCTTCATTTCCACAGCAATCATTCTCTGTTCTCGTTCTCTTTTCTTCGATCTTATTAACCTTCTGCCACCAGGTATTTCACTTTCGACTGATGAAACATACTACATATATCTATCGACATCAGTAGCACACAACATACTACCTGACCTTAAATGTAAATGCTACTTTATTAAACAAAGTTCTCTTCAGAAAACAGAACGCATTTTATAGTCTCATTATGCATTGGAGTCCTAAACAGTAATAATGAGTCTCATTAACTATTAAACACAAAAGTAATGGGGAAATCAATCTGGACTTTAGGGATGAAATTATATAATGTTCTTTCCAAACGAAAAATCAAACATCTACTAAACAAAAACATACATAATGTTCAAGATATTTCACTTTTTTAAATCCCCGTAGTTTATTTTACGCTGTTTATTACTGTTAATACTATGATTACAAAATTCATAACTGTTATTGAAATTTCTTTCACCTCTGATTATGCATCATTCATGCATCACATACTGAATATTATGAACAACTCTGTCGAAAATATCCAGTGAAATTATTCTTAAATTTCAGTTTAGAAAAAGGTCTTCGTGCTAAAACAGCTGAAACAGACACGATTAACTTGAATGATTTAAGTGTAGTGGTGTAGCGGTGCTCATGTATTTAAAATTTGAGCTTAACAAACTTCTACAATTGTTTTAAATGTTTATAAATTAACTGATTTCGTTTCTTAGGGTCGAATGTAGTAGATTTCTAATGTTTAACTACCATTAACAATCTAACTAAAGGAATGTGTCCAAAACTAATCAAATAGTAAACACATTTTTTAATACTTAAATGGAAAAAAAACTGTTGGCACTATAACCACATACTCCATCATTCCTCAAACTTTGTAAATTATCAATTAGTGTTTCTTTCTTAAAGATAGGGTGTAAATTACTAGGTTTTAGTAAGTAAGCGCAATAACACTACTCATAAATGAATGACTTATTTATATAATGTCATACTAAATATAGTGGTAATCTAACTTCACCACACCAGTAAACGCGATATGTATGGTACTACCATTTAAAAAATATAACTAGTATTATAATAAAATTACTTACCTGAACTTTGATGACCTCCAATAAATATCAACGGTAGATTGCGTAAATCAGCATCAGTAGATAATTTCGGAATTTCTTCTAATTTATTAATTGGTTGTGTTAATTCAGGTCGATTATGAATAATGTATTTTGAAATGATAAATAAAGCCCATATATATACAGAGCATAATCCAAATAACTTTACTGCATTGTTTACACCTGATAATAAAATACCATATATAAACAATATATTTCAATATACAGAAATATTTTATCTTATTTGACGTAATCTATATTACTACTCAAAAATAAAAGAAGTTTCCAGATGACAGCTAATATTATTCCTGAATAACCAAATGCTTGCGTTAAATTTCACTTGATGTCAGTTGAAAGAATAGTTGATGACACATATCTTTATGCGAAAAGTTTCAAGTTTATCTCATGTAAAATGTACTACTTTTTGAAAACAAGAGATAATTTCTAATAATCGTATATTCTTCAACTACTAACGTGTTATGACTAAATGCATTTTTATCTGGTCAACATAAAATCAATCATTGAAAAACATGATCACTAATTTTTTTTATAGGATTAACTAAAAATCAAATTTAAAGGTTCAATGATAACAAGTGGATATTTATAATTTAAAACAAATTTATCAGTGTTTACTATTTTAACGATTATTGAATGTTGCCAGTTGTTAGGATCATCCTTCGGCCTTACAAAACATTTGTTTAATATCATATGAGTTTAAGTGATATCTCTGATGATGGTAATTCATTCTGTAAATCGTTCCAAATCATCATATCCTTGACATTTATCGAATAGATATAGTTTCAAGTCATTTGATATTATGGGTTTCAAGAAGAAAGTATCGAAGTAAGGAAAATAATAAAACCATACCAGTTGTAAGTTATCGTAAAACAAATTATTTTGAGTGGTAGTGACCACTGAATTTCGATTGACGATTAAAATATAACGAAAAGTTTGAATTTCTTCATCTAGGTTGTCAGAAATAGCCATTTGTATATAGTGTCGTTCTCATAAAAAAGGAACATTATTGAATCGATTTTATTGTTGTAAGATTATGAATTAAGGGTTTCTAAAAACCTTCTTTTAAAATAAACATTGTTGTAAGTATATAATTTATTCCCTGTACATTGTTGCTAGATTCTTTTTAGTCGTACCGATTTGTGTATTAAGAACTGCAAGCCAAATTTTGTGTATTTGATTCTTTATTCGATGGTATTCAAACTTTCAAACTGATCATTATACTTTAACATAGGTTTTGAGTAATAATATGTTTACAATCATTTTGATTTTAATATCGTTTCATAAAATAGGTTTGTATATAAATGAAATCATATCTTTATTGAAACTTTTACAATCTAAAATGGTAGTCAATGAATGATCACCAACTATTTAATGACCTATTTCTATCAATTTAAATGACGTAAGTATCACAATAATATTTATGATATGCAATAGAAAAGACCTACCAATTAACATATATTTTAAAATATGCTCCAACAAGCATAAATTCTTATATATATATATATATCACTATTACTTATTGCACAGCTAAACAACCTAAAGATATTAAGGTTAGATTATTCACCAATTAGTTATCAATAAGTTCATGTATTATTAAACTGCAATTTAATTAACATCTAATCTTCTTTAAACAGTGATTTGTTAAACTCATGACTTTCAATTTTATTTAAAATTATCAGTGCTCTGTTAAAGATCTCAATCAAAAAATTCATAATCTTCGCAACTCATACTGATAATTACCATGTGCTCACTAGTGACTAGCTTTGTAAAGAAATTCTCGGAGTTCTAGTGAGAAGCCGTGACCAGTAGTGCTAATCCATGTGGGTAGAGGCAGCCTTCTACCTCAGTACAATGGAAGATGGTCACACAATTTCATGGGTTGGTTGAAGTTAGATATTAAAACCGTTGAATCTCGGCTCAGTAGTCTAGAGTTTAAGCGTTCATGTGTGTAGACCGAAGGCCCTGGGTTCTAATCCCGCAAGTTGGATCTTGGATGTTCACCACTGAGGAGTACCACAATATTATGAAACCGCCTAACATTAATCGGTTCATGATCTTAATCAAAAATTAAACAAACAGCTTACTCACGTATATAATAATAATTTCAATTAGATAGCAGTTTTAAACTTAAAATATATTTCGTCATCAATAACAAACATTTTTATATTAACATTTAAGTTTAAATAAGTTGTAAATAAAATATTATCCAGTATCGATAAGGTTAAAAATGGTTTAGTGTTTAATAAAACTAGACAATAATTGATTAAATTCCTAGTAGATTTAGTAGTGTGTACTTATGAAGATTCTCCCATAATTCGATAAAAAAAACGCAGGCTTTCAATAGTTCTTCGAATGACATGAATCCGTAATGAAAACTACTCACAAATAGAAAAATACTGTCAAGATCACATTCATGTGACTTATCATTAAAGTTATTTCGTTTACGTTTATTTTCAATTAAAAGAAATCATACGCAAGAATCTAGTTCAGAACCTTCGATCTCGCACGTGAATGCTTAACCTAAAAATCACTAAGCAAGTATCCGACTCAGTAAATGTCTCACTTCAATCAACTCACGATATTGTTGAAACATGATTCGTTGACAGCAGTGGATGGCTATTTCATACCCAACACGGATTAAACTTAACTGGTTACAGTTCACTAAAACTCTAAGAATTACATCTTATCATGATATGATAAAAAAAATATCCACAGAATTAATGCAGTATGAATCTCATTATCAGTACCAATGGATTAAATTAAGTAATTGAAAAATACTTACCATTAATTTGAGTACACTGAAACATTTGTTATTATTCTGTCAATGGTTTATGATTTTGTGACGAGAATAATTCTTTATCAATAGTATTTTACTAAAATGTTATTTATTTTGTCAATGATATAACAGTATCTTTGTTGGTCTTCTACTAGATTCAATTTACTTAATATACATATAAAGAATATAATAATCAACAATTGTTCAGATGCTGTTGACCTTAAGTTTATTGGTCTTCCATTGAACACAACTATTTATTTACATATTGAAAAACAATTGTTTGTTTACACTTTTAACTCAATTAATTGGAAATATAGACACATATTGTTCTTATATGTTTATCTTCTAATATAACATTGAAGGGTTATACATAAAAATTTCTTTTTTTTTTGTAAATGAGTATATGATAGTGTATCATAAAAGTATCATAAACCCTAAAGTTTTGAGGTAATAAATAAAACTGAGAACAAGTTCACAACAAGAGTAGTTTTATAATAATAATAATAATAATAATAATAATAATAATAATAATGGTAATAATAATAATAATAATAATAATAATAATAATAATGTAATAATAATAGTAATAATAATAATAGTAATAATAATAACAATAATAATGATAATAATGAGAGAGATTTTCTTAAATTTATGATGAAATCGATAATACTATTTATTTTTTTTTAGAATTCGTTAAAAGTGGAAATTTAATTAAAGTAATGGATTCTAACAAATTTACACTGACTTGATTAATTAGATGTTGTATGTTCTATTTCACAATGTTTGTTTAATAATAATCCATGAATAAATATCCGTTGACTTTTTTAGAATCAACATAACCAATTGTGTCATTGAATAAAAATAAAGAGAATTCAGTAAAAACTACTTCTCAATATACCATTGTTAGGATACAGTTTTAATACAAAATACTGAAGAACTGAATTGTATTAGCTAGTACATTTATTCGAACTAGGAAACGATTGTTGCCAGGATTTTTACGATAGTTGACATAAGGTAGATGACTAAAATCTATAATTGATTGATTGAAGAATCATATACACCATGAAAATGACCTATATTTTGTTGGCTTAAAGGTAAGAATGACAACGTGAGTTGTACAGTTTATAAAGTCAGTTTATTCTTCACACGTTAAGTGTGATGCATATATTTTTATCGGGTTGAATACAATAAAATTATGATCATGATTGACGACCATGTTCTTGTTAAGAAGTTCTTTTTCAAATTTCAGACCATTTTTACTGAATTACAGTCCTAATGTTGACACTAAGACTCATTCACTAATGTTTGAAACAACATGTACTGAATTCAAATCTCAGTGCGGGAATAAACACTGATATATAAGTACAATCAATCGACGAATCCTAAATAGAATAAAACGCATATCCTAGACTCGAGTACTGACCTTCATTGAAATCACTCAATTACTTACTTACGTCTGTTACTCTCAGTGGAGCATAGGCCTCTGACCAGCAGTCTCCAACTCACTCTGTCCTGGGCCTTCTTTTCTAATTCTATCCAATTGTTGTTCATTCTTCTCATGTCTCTCTCCATTTCTCAGCGTAATGTATTCTATGATTTTCCTGTTCTCCTTGGACCTTGAGGATTTCATGTGATGGCTTGCCTTATGATGCAGCTGGGTGCTTTCCTCTATTTGTGTCCTATACACTTCCAGCACTAACCGGTAAAAATAATTCAATTCATTGAACTACATTAAAACATATCATATTATGAAGTTAAATTTGACCATATTACTCTGATTAATTGAGAATGGATGATTAATTAATCAATAATGGAAGAACATGTCTGGTTGTTTAGTCAAGTTAATAAAAGAGATATTGAGTGTCATCAATTAATGAATTCCATTTCTTTCTAAAATTATCGCCATCGCAGAGATGTCGACCACTTGATCAAGTTTTACAACACCTCAGTTGATCATTACAGATTTGTTAGATTAATATACGTAACTGTACTATATTAGTGAATAATAATTGGGTTATAATCAATGATTATAAAATATAATTCATTTTTTATGGATTACTGTTTATACATTTTCCACTGAGTAATAACTCTATCATGATAACAGTATTGTTTAACAAGACTAATTGTTATCATTCAGTTTAATGAAACGTTTAGTTTCTTCCGAGAGAAATAAATACAACGTCAATGTAACTATTTGTATGCAAATAATTATTAGCAGGAATATGTTAAATGTCAGTTTTTATTTAATTGAACGTAGGATTCATGTATCCAGAATGATTACTAGCTTTCATCTTATATACCTGCAAAAAATGTTTGTTCTTCAACACTTTATGTGATAAGTTTCAGACTTATGTCATGTGCGTTTTATATCTTTATGTTATCGATGACAGTTTCTAATGTAACCAATTACTTTTTTTTATGATGACAAAGTTATAGTGTCCGTTTCTATATCAAGCCCACATAGCTTGTTATACCTTCCGAACAAGCCAGTTTATTCGTTCTTCTTGGTTCATGCTTTTACCCTGTCACTTATTCGCTTATTAATCGTGTTTTTTTATATGACTCTCCTCCATTGCGCGTCATTTTGTTTTGCTTCGTTTTCAGATCAACGATTGTACGAAATATACGCATTCAAAAATCTATTCTCGTACTTGACTTATTTAGTTCCATTATTCACCAACGCGATGTAAGTCGATATTTATATGCGAGGATTGGCGTCATGTATATATCGATAACAATCAGAATCGATCTGCCTGGAGTCAGATTTCGGATCACTAAAAGGTCATCTGGAAAAGTTTCTTTTAATTTGATATTCTCTTATAATCTTGTAAATAATAAGGATTTTTTTATTTACTTGACTTCGAAACAGATACAATAGTAAGGATTCATCGCGTATTATTTTGTGACGATAAAGCATTTCAGTGCAGTAAGTTAAAATAACTATTTCAAAATATGGTTCATAATTGGTGAATAATCAAGAAATTTGAAATACCCACATTGTAGTTTGTGAATAGATGATTTTAACACATTTTCTCTTCTGGATGATAATTCTATGCTGTAAATTGTTTAATAGGCAATTACAATGATAAGCTTATAATAGAATGAAGGTTACATTTTGTGGCTTATTTCTTATTCTGTATGAGGATATAATGATTTTGATTTAAAGTGTCTATGAAACTTTCTTAAATTAATTTATTTATAGCATCTATGATGTAGGTGCCGATTGCTGATTCTAAAATAAGCCTCTATTGCTATGACAATGTGGAAGTTAAAGTGACTTTATTCCAACATCGCTTTTCTTTTACTTTTAGAAAGTTTACTTAATAAATGTGTTATGTTTGAAGTGGTTATCACTTCACCTTATCTGAGAACGGAATGAAAACTCTGTGATATAACGACCGATAAGCTAGCTATTCCGACGTGTCCCAGCCCCGCTAAGTAGATAGAGATTGTCAAGTTCAATTTCGTTTAAGTTAAATATTTGATTATACCTTATTCCATAAAATCAATCTAAAATTATTTCAGTGATACTTCTTTCATAACATTTATTCAATTTTCATTTCACTACTTATTCACATTATGATTAAATTTAAATTAAAACTGTTATAATGCTCGGTTTTACTTTGTTTAATGTTATAACGGCTGGGTTTACACGTTTACACGTATGGGACGTTAATTTACCTTAAACGAATATCTACACAAGATTCCCTCCCAGTGTCTATTCTACAGGATATCAACACAACTCAGATCAAGAACATGTGATTAGCCTGACCACAACGTAAATATATTTCCACACAAAAACCCGACACAATCCAACAACAATGAACAATTAAAAATAAATGAGTTCTAATAATAATAAGGGTAGGGGAATATATAACTCATCTAACACCTTTCAGACTATCTACATGTCCGACTAAGCAGACAAACAATCATTATCATTCTCGCCCACACATAAAAAACTATCTAACAATTTGATCACTACTGAATAATAGTTAATTGAATAATCATTAAAAATATATTGGAAATGAAAGAAGCAGATATACATTCACTTGGTGTTGTTTTAATTGTATGTTCCCACTGTTATTCAGCACTGCGAATTGATCAGTCTCATATTGGTATATGTGCATCCTGTGCGGATGCCTCGATATAGCCTTAAGGCATAAGCGTTTTTTAAGCAAAAATGGGTAGTGGCTAACAGTGGGATTCAGGATGCCCGTTTCGTCCTATTAGCGACTCGTCCATCTTTGCTTAAAAATAGCTTGTGACTTGAGGCTATATCGAGGCATCCGCACAGGATGTACATATCCCAACTTGAGACTGATCAATTTGCAGTGCTAAATAACAGTGGGAACATACAAGTAAAACAATATCAAGTGAATTTAAACTTCACCCCATTGCACAAGCAGGTGGCTATCACGACTTAGTGGGTAAGTGGATAACGCTAAGGCGTTTGAAGCGAACGGTAGTGGGCTCGAGTCCCGGAGTGAACATCAACTCTGGGATGCAGCACATCCAGTTGGCGAGTCCAAAATAGGACGAAGTGGCGTGCGTCCTCGATCCCACTGTTAGCCACTATCCATCTTTGCTTAAAAAAGCAGATAAACATATTATAAAATAGTTCTTACATTTACAGTTGTTATAAACTTCATATGTATTATATAATGTACATAATTTGAATATAATAACATAAATGAAGTGAACTTATCAATGATGATATGCAAATTATTGAATTATCTGATAAGTAATTAGCAATACATTTGTTAAAATTATTTTAACTACTTACTCTAATTTCCAAGCTCATATAGAAGTTGGTAAGGTAAGTATTCGATCAAAAATACAACATTTTATACAAAATCAGTTAGATAATCTCAAGAAAGTACCAAATTATAAAAAAAGTTGATTATTCTACACTTAAACAACCACTTTTTCTCTTTTTCTTCAAATATATATATATATAAATATATAACAAACATCAAAATTAGTCTAAGTGGAAAGTTTCAATGTTGTATAGGAACAACTACCTTGAATTAT